TTGCTGTTTCCACGCCGTAACTTGAACTTCTGCACCTGTCAGTGCATTCCTTAGTTCAGGGGCGAAAAAAAATAAAAAACATAAAAATACATTTTGGTTTGGTTTTGGTACCTGTACACCTGTTTTGTTTTGTCACACTTAGCATTTTGGGAATTTTTGCCAAGGCTGGCAGGTGGCTTAATCCGTCCTTCAGCTGGTATCATAAAGAAAGACTTGTACTCTGAATTTCAAATCCCCTTCTCCCTCTTTATTTATTTATTTTTTGTTAACATAATTTTATTTTATTTTCTAAAGCATTATTTTTGTAAATGATTTAAAAAAAAAAAAAAAAAAAACAACAACCCCCCCCCAAAAAAAAAAATCATATAGGTGAACATAGCCAGACACAAAGTACCCTATGGGCAGCTTCACACTGATCCACTGCAGTTTGGCTGTATACTGGTGGTTTTCGTGTGAGTCAGCCGTGCTTTCCCATAGACTTCTATTAGATTGGCAGTTTTGGTGCTTTTTCAGAAAATGCACCAAGACTGCCTGATCTAATAGAAGTCTATGGAAAAATGCAGGTGACCCACACTAAAACTGTCGGTATACCTGCTGCATGGCAGCCAAACTGCAGTGGATTGGTGTGAACGCAGCCTTAAGAAGGGCCCCCCCCCCCCGGTAGGTGAATTGACTCAAAGGAGTATGACCAAGATGGCTGCCTAGCCTCCTAAGTAGGAAAAGTGCAGTAGAACTACCAATAAATGAAAATTTATGTTTAGTAATTTTTTTTAATCAGCAGAGGGGATGGTACTTACATTACATGAAAAGTGTCTCTTGGGCTACTGACTGCTCTCTTCCAAGTCTTGTGAACCCATCCGCCATGTCACCCCTCCGTATACCCGTATATCCATAATAATCTATTGCTGTGGGGGTTATTAGGATTGGTTGGACCTCATATGGCATGCTGTTCCTCATCAGTCCCTCCTCCTCTCCTTCCCATCCCTGGTGCCTGTATATGCCATCACCTGGGATGGGCAGGAGGGGTGGAGGTGCCAGCGGAACAGCACGCCACAAGAGGACTCATCACAGCCTCTTTCCTGTATTGTTCTGCATATGAAGGAAACCGCTGTTAGTTTAATGGGCCTTGCTCTGTGCCCCGTAATCTGCCTCGCTCTGTGCCCAGTAGTGTGCCCTGCTCCCATGCAGTGCGCCCTGTTCTCCCATGCAGTGCGCCCTGTTCTCCCATGCGGTGCGCCCTGTTCTCCCATGCAGTGCGCCCTGTTCTCCCATGTAATGTGCCCTGTCCCCATGTAGTGTGCCCTGCTCCCATGTAATGTTCCATGCTCCCGTGTAGTGCGACCTGTGACATATTATCTCCTCACCTCTTGTCAAACGCCCTCTGAAAAGTGATCAACTATGAATCGCTTTTTCAGAGGAGCCCCAGAATTGCTGCACATATCAATAAGCCCTAAGAGTATTCCTGAATTCAGCAGTAGCCACACGTGAGACGGGTATCAATAATGGTAGTTTATATTTAATAAGCAAATGTAAAGAAAATTTTTTTTTAACTTAGGTTTCAAATTTAAATAAAGCTTTTAAAAAAAAGAAGCGCTGTGATGTATTTTAACAATGTATTACAGCACACACCATCACATGTGTGTTATGTGTCCGATAATGGGGCTGGGCAGCACAATGGCTTAGTGGTTGGCCTCTCCAACTTGCAGAGTGGGGGGTCTCAGGTTCAAATCCTGGACAGGACACTATCTACATGGAGTTTGCATGCTTTCCCTGTGCTTGTGGATTTCCTCTCACACTCTAAACATACTAGTAGGTTTATTGGCCCCGGTATGTGTATGTGAGGTAGGAGCATTAGATTGTAAGCTCCTTGAGGACAGGGACTGATGTGAATGTACAGCACTGTGTAAACTGTTAGCACTCTATAACTACCTGTATAAATAAATCTAGTGTGATTGACCCTAAACTGCGACATGTAGTCAGCCTAGAATTCCTCTTTAGGGCAGATAGGTTTGTCGGGTGATAAGACATTATTAGGCCCGGCACCTATTCCCGCTGTGCCGCGACGGTTCAGGCCTGTCATTCTCACAAGGTGGGTCACGCAGTTGTCTCCTCACATTTGCCAGGAAATCCTCAGCAGAAAAACACAGATGTCATGGAGGACAATGCCTGAGCTGTCACAGAAAATATTTTATTTTCACAGGGGATTAGAAACACACATTCGTACCGTAACCAGAACTAAACCCTGAGATAGAGGATGAGGAGCTCAGGATAATTCTGTTTATGTGCAATACCTTGTGACCCCCCCCATCCCGCAACCTAGCTTAACCCCTTCTGTACACCGCCGCAAAGAATGCTACTGTCATCAGAGGAGCTAGGCTTTAAGTGTGTGTATCTACAATTGTGCAATAGAAACACACATACTATACGTATATGATATACATACACATATTATATACAGTATATGATATAAACACATAAAAAAAAAATATATATATATATATACACACACACAGGGGCGGACTGACAACTCATGGGGCCCCCGGGCAATAGGGGATCATGGGGCCCCTGTGTCCTTGCCCAAACTCAAAAAAAGCCTATGAAAAAGGTACCAGGGGCATCTCGTGAGGCCCCCTACTGACCCCGGCCCCTTGGGCAGTGCCCGACTTTCCAAATGGTCAGTGCGCCCCTGCACACCGCCATTTAATATCTAAACCACTGGCAACAAAAGTGAGTACATCCTTAAGGGAAAATGTTCAAATTGGGCCCAATTAGCCATTTCCCTTCCCCGGTGTCATGTGACTCGTTAGTGTTACAAGGTCTCAGGTGGGAATGAGGAGCAGGTGTGTTAAATTTGGTGTTATCCCTCTCACGCTCTCATACTGGTCACTGGATGTTCAACATAGCACCTCATGGCAAAGAACACTCTGAGGATCTTTATGTTGCTCTACATAAAGATGGCCTTAGGCTATAAGAAGATTGCCAAAACCCTGAAACTGAGCTGCAGCACGGTGGCCAAGACCATACAGCGGTATAACAGGACAGGTTCCACTCAGAACAGGCCTCGCCATGGTCGACCAAAGAAGTTTGAGTGCAAGGTGTTCATTTGGGTTCAGATCAGGAGACATACTTGGCCACTGAATCGCTTTCACCCTGTTCTTCAGAAATGCAACAGTGGCCTTAGATGTGTTTGGGTCATTGTCATGTTGGAAAAGTGCACGATGACCAACGACACAGAGTGATGGTAGCATCTTCTCTTTCAATATAGAGCAGTACATCTGCGAATGCATGATGATATCATCAATGAAATGCAGCTCCCCAACACCAGCAGCACTCATGCAGCCCCACAGAAGGACACTGCCATCTCCATGTTTCACTGGAAGAACCATGCATTTTCTTTGTACTCCTCCCCTTTCCGACGCCATACAAGCCATCAGTTCCAAAAGCGTTTATCTTGGTCTCGTCACTCCAGAGTACAGAGTCCCAGTAGTCTTCTTCTTTTTCAGCATGGGCCCTGGCAAATTCTAGGTGGGCTTTTTGTGCATGGGCTTTAGGAGAGGCTTCCTTCGTGGACGACACCCATGCATGCCATTCCTCTGCAGAGTACGCCATATTGTGTCATGGGAAACAATCACCCAAGTTTGGATTTCTATTTACAGAGAACTTGCATGGTGATTTTATTCAACCCTTCTCATCAAAAGACGCTCCTGTCGAGGTGCTAACGTCTGTGGACGGCCTGGACATCTCTTTGAGATGGCCGCAGTTTCATCTTTGTTAAATTTTTGTATCACTTTTGCTACAGTATTTTGACAAGTAAAGCTTTGCTGATCTTCTTGTAGACTTCACCTCACTTGATTAAATAAATTATTTTCTTTCTCAGGCCTTGTGACATTTCACTTCTATGTGGTGCCATTGCTGACAGCATGAATGGGAAGGGGTTTTCTTTGTTAAGTAGCACCTTTTTATAATCAACTGTCAGCTGGATACCTGTTTACAGTAATGAATAATTAGACTCGTCTGTAGTTGAATTCTAAAATTTAGCTTTGCTCCTAAGACTTTCATTGGGGTGTATTCATTTTTGCAACATGGTCTTGAATGAATTTGTTAGGAAAAATACTTTTTGTATGTGCAAATTAACAAATCTTCTTTGCAATCAATGGCTCGCATTTGTGGGAGTATTTTGTTTTCTGACAAATCTGGTGGGGTGTACTCATTTATGCTGAGCACTGTATATACACATTATATTGCCAAAAGTATTGGGACACCTGCCTTCACATGCACATGAACATTAATGGCATCCCAGTCTTAGTCCAAAGGGTTCAATAGTGAGTTGGCCCACCCTTTGCAGTTATAACAGCTTCAACTCCTCTGGGAAGGCTGTCCATAAGGTTTAGGAGGGTGTCTATGGGAATGTTTGACCATTCTTCCAGAAGCACATTTGTGAGGTCAGGCACTGATGTCGGATGAAAAGGCCTGGCTCGCAGACTCCCAACTAAGTAATTCCAAAGGTGTTCTATCGGGTTGAGGCCAGGACTATGTGCAGGTCAGTCAAGTTCCTCCACCCCAAACTCACTCATCCATGTCTAAGGACCTTGCTTTGTGCATTGGTGCGCAGTCATGTTGAAACAGGAAGGGGCCATCCCCAAACTGTCCCTACAAAGTTGGGAGCATGAAATTGTCCAAAATGTTTTGGTATGCTGACGCATTAAAAGTTTCCTTCACTGGAACTAAGGGGCCAAGCCCAACTCCTGAAAAACAACCCCACATCATAATCCCCCCTCCACCAAACTTTTTACACTTGGCACAATGCAGTCAGGCAAGTACCGTACTCTGGGGAACCGCAAAACCCAGACACGTCCATTGGATTGTCAGACAGAGAAGTATGATTCGTCACTCTAGAGAGCACGTCTGCACTGCTCTAGAGTCCAGTGGCGGTGTACTTTACACCACGGCATCCGACGTTTTGCATTGCACTTGGTGATGTAAGGCTTGGATTCAGCTGCTTGGCCATGGAAACCCATTCCATGAAGCTCTCTACACACTGTTGTTGTGCTAATCTGAAGGCCACATGAAATTTGGAGGTTTTTAGCTATTGACTCTGCAGACAGTTGGCGATTTCCATGCACTGTGCCCTTCAACATGCACTGACCCCTCTCTTTCATTTTACGTGGCCTACCACATGGTGGCTAAGTTGCTGCTGTTCCCAGTTACTTCCACTTTGTTATAATACCACTAACAGTTGACCGTGGAATATTTAGTATCAAGGAAATGTCACAGATGGACTTATTGCACAGGTGGCAACCTATCACGGTACCACACTTGAATTCACTTAATTCCTCAGAGCGACCCATTCTTTCACAAATGTTTGTAGAAGCAGTCTGCCTGTCTAGGTGCTTGATTTTATACACCTGTGGCAATGGAGGTGATTGGAACTCCTGAATCCAATGATATGGAGGGGTGTCCCAATACGTTTGGCAATATGGTGAATATGATATACACCAGGGGACTGTGGCCAATAGAAGTAGAAAATGCCCTGGTGTCAGTAGCAACACCCCATTGTTTGTTTGTGTCATTGGGAGGAATAATGCCTCATCATTGGTGTTAGCGGGAGGAATAGTGCTGCATCATTGGTGCCAGTGGGAGGAATAGTGCCCCCTCATTGGTGACAGTAGGAGGACTAGTGCCCCCCATTGGTGACAGTGGGAGGACTAGTGCCCCAAGGGCCGGATAAAGGCAAGCAAAGGGCTGCAGTTTAGAGACCACTGATACACTGATATACACACCACACATACTATATACAAATGATATAAGCACACATGCTATATATTTATATATATACAAGCTCTGAGGAAGATGAGCTTGTGCCTCATCGAAACACTGTAATAAAATCCTCTCAAGACCCATGAATACCACTTCATCTTTTGGAAAAAAAAAATATATATATATTTATTTTTTTTGCAAAGAGGAGAAAAATCAAAGTAAAAAATCAAATCCTTATTTGGTGTAACGGTCCTTCAAACCCGCATAAGTTCTTACACTTGAATACTTTGTACACTTGCACAAAGTCAGAGATTTTGTAGGATTAGAGTCAGGCGTATGATTAACCAATTATACCAAGCAGGTACTAACGTTCATCAATTTCATATGGGAGTTGAAACACAGTTATGAAGGAAACTTAATGCAGCAGATGAAAGACACATCAAGCTTACTTCCCTTCAACATCGGAAGATATCCAGCAGTGCCATCAACACAGAACTGACAGAAACCAGTGGGACCCAGGTACACCCATCTACTGTCCGGAGAAGTCTGGCCAGAAGTGATCTTCATGGAAAAATTGTGGCCAAAAAGCTTGACGTGGAAACAAAACTAAGTGACTATGCACGAAAACATATGAACTAGGGTGAAGAAAAATGGCAGCAAGTGGTACATTAATGCATATTCGGTATGGTACTGCATGTTTGTCAAACAACAACAAAGAAAAATGCCCAGCTCAACTTACCAACCAGCCTGCAACCAACCAAATTGTCCTGTCTAACAGTTCACATTAAAAACAGGGGTTTAGTTTGCACACATTTCCAAATACATGTGTAAGCTACAGATCCTCTTCATGGCACCCCACTTTTTCAGCAGTCCTAGCTCTATAAATGTTGAGAGTCTCCATAGTGGAAGCACATGTATAATAATGGATAGACCGAGGGCAGGTAAGCCTGGAGGGAACCCACTCTTCTTAAAGGCACAGGGGTGCACTGGACATCCAGCATATAGCACAATGGCAGCCAAGGTATCCATTGCACCCCTCAGCAATATACCAACAGTACAAACAAATGGCAGCTACCCCAATCTATAACTGTAGAAAGGACTGCACAAAATACTGGGGTGTCGCGAAGAGGCTCTGCAGCTTACTCCTGTATTTGCAAATGTGTGCAAGCTAAACTCCTATTTTTAATGTGAACTGTTAGACAGGACAATTTGGTTGCAGGCTGGTTGGTAAGTTGAGGTGGGAATTTTTCTTTGTTGTTGTTTGACATGCGTGCGCCTTGCTGCAAAGACCAGGTTTAGATTGGGACAGTTGCTGTTTGTTTGTAATGCTACTGCATGTTGCAGTACCGTGGGTATAACATAAGTTATTGCGACACAACACTATTAACTGGACTTTAGGGCCATGTTCATGAGGTCATAAATACAGTATATGGGTTATCTTTTAGCATTCGAGTGAGGGAAGGGTTTAGCATTAGGATCAGTATAAACGTTAGCTCAGTTAAGAGTGAGGACACTTTACTTGCTTATTGCTTGTCTATAGCACCAAAAACCCTGTGCCAAAAATGCCAGTGCAAGGTTTCAATGCCAAAACATCCGCAATGAGATAGCAAAACTGGTTCACAGTAGGAGTGTCTGGACTGGATACTAAAATGACAGAGATGACTCAAGGCTGAAGGAAATAACTCCATCCGTGTCCACTAAATGCCTCTGGGTAATATTTAAAGTACATAGACCGTCTGACAGTCTTTTGCTGCAGGCACATGAGGACAGCGTGTGTGTGAAAGAAAGATATGTCTCATTAAACTTTATATAAAACAGGTCATTAAAACCTCATGTAAGCTTCAACGTATCTGATATCTGCATAGTTTGTACATTCACCTTGTGCATTGTGGGTTTTTGCCAGGTCCTTTGATTTTCACCTACAACTCCAAAACTAGTTGGTAGGTTAACTGGCAATTGACTATATGAGCTCCATCCTGAATTTCCTACTGGAGGACAGTCTCTTGCTAAAAATACAAGATTGCTGGACTTGGAGCTTGCATCCCCATCCCATAAAACACACTGGTCTGCTGCCTGGGTGGGGAACCCTCATACATTCTTGGTGGGAATACCCTTAAATATTGCCTTTTTGGCAGAATTTCAGTTTGTGGATTAGGAAAATTTCAGAAATCAGTCTCCTCAATGCTCTGCTATACTTTTTATTACAAGCCTTCTTATGGCAAGCAAACCATATAGGGAATCCTCTTTACCATACCTCTGAAATAAAGCAAAACAATTAATCCCAATAATCTCTCATTCCTACCAAAATATATTGGGTTAGGAAGGTGATTGATATTATCAAGTCTGACCATTGGGACGGTACTTGCAAGGGCCAGTATAAAAGTTTTTTTTTGCATATGGGCTACCTGGCTTCACAATAGCTCTACTACAAATGGCAGTTCACTCTGGTATATCTGGGCTGATCCCACATCCACTGGATGATGGGTTTCAACCACTTGGGCAGTGTTGTGCAGCCAGATTACTTTGTATAGATCACTTGTCAATGCATGGAGGGAGGCGCCACACAGGCTCCTGAAGTAGTAAAATTGTAAAAAGTTGAGAGCCCCAAGGTTTTTGTTTCTGTTAATGTTAATAAAGAACACTTGCATTTGAGCTGCCACTTTGATGAAATACAAACAAATGTATGGTCTGTAGCACCCTCCTAGATATTTGCTAAGGTAAGTAAATGTAGTTCTTAGCTCTCCTGTTATTAATGAAGTTGCCTGTGATTATTTAGGTCTGCTATGAGGTTTCACAGGCTGAGAGTTTGACTGCTTCCCTGCCTTTTGGATGGTTTTGGAAGATAGTGGGCTGGGAGAGTCAAATTTACAGTATGAACATTTATGTGGACCTAGCCAATCCTTGGGAGAGGACCAATAAGGTGGCTTGGATGGAGCATAAATAGTTTGATGCCTGAAGCAGAGTGTTCTTGTCCAAGAGGAGGAGATCCCAGCCTGAAGGGTTGCTGCCCTTTTGGGCAGTCCAGGTGTGCTTTTTCTACTACTCAACAAGGTCCCACCTATGTTAGCTGGGGAGTCTATTCTACTGAGCTTTGCTAGAACTAACTGAGGAACCTCTTCCAAACATCCAAGGACATTAGTGAGTTCAGACTGGTGTGTGAGATTCCAGTGACTGTGTGCTGCTATCCCTCTTGCACATTAGACAAGAGTCCGCTTGTGCTTAAAAATGGACGTTGTTTCTGTTGTTCCAGTGTAGCCTGGCCCGGTCCATTATTTGCTTTTGCTCTGAATTTTCAGGTGGAAGATAGGTGTCCTCAAGTTACTACTTCACATTGCTGGAGTATCCTGTGGTTATCCTGCATCCATCCAAGTTCAAGTTTTTCATTAAAGCATCAAAAAGAATACCCCTGGACTGATCATTGAGCCAGAAGCATGACCGAGACTATGCGCCTGGCTGCTAGGCACTTGCTTGGGAAAAAACCTTGGGACCAAATCAGTGGGCCTTTTAGTGAGTTGATTGCTACAGGTCTATCTAGACATAGCCTGATTAAGCTATTGAAAAAGGGCTGGATAATAATATTCAATGTACCTTTCACATTCATGCTTAAATTAAACATCTTTGAACTATTTTACAGATTTATTTTTCTAGCATTTGTACATTTTTTAGTTTTTTTGTGGGTGTCTCATTTTTATAAATTATTTTTAGTCAATGGAAAGCTAGTTAATAGGCAGTAAAAAATGCTTGAAGCTTGTAGCTAAAATTAAGCCCTTGTCCTTTTTCGAGCTACAAGCTTCAAGTGACACTATGCAGAAGTATGAACAGGGACAAAACCATGGGATTCTGGATGTTGAACATTTTTTGAAATACAAAACACTCAGGTGTGAATGAAGCCTTATTTTTCAGAAAAGCACTAGGTATATAACTGCAATTGCTCAAGCAGTGCAATTACACTGCTCAAAAAAAATAAAGGAACACTTTTTAATCAGAGTATAGCATCAAGTCAATTCAACTCCTGGATATTGATCTGGTCAGTTAAGTAGCAGAGGGGGTTGTTAATCAGTTTCAGCTTCTTAGGTCTTAATGAAATTAACAACAGGTGCACTAGATGGGCAACAATAAGTTGACCCCCAATACAGGAATGGTTTTACAGGTGGAAGCCACTGACATTTTTTTCCCTACTCATCTTTTCTGACAGTTTTTCACTAGTTTTGCATTTGGCTAGGATCAGTGTCACTACTGGTAGCATGAGGCGATACCTGGACCCTACAGAGGTTCCATAGGCAGTCCAACTCCTCCAGGATGGCACATCAATACATGCCATTGCCAGAAGGTTTGCTGTGTCTCCCAGCACAGTCTCAAGAGCATGGAGGAGATTCCTCCAGGAGATAGGCAGTTACTTCTAGGAGAGCTGGACAGGACTGTAGAAGGTCCTTAACCCATCAGCAGGACCAGTATCTGCTCCTTTGTGCAAGAAGGAACAGGATGAGCACTGCCACAGCCCTACAAAATGACCTCCAGCAGGCCATTGGTGTGAATGTCTCTGACCAAAAAAATCAGAAACAGATTTAATGAGGGTAGCCTGAGCGCCCGACGTCCTCTAGTGGGCCCTGTGCTCACTGCCTGA